CCCCCAATTTTCCAATGGACCACCCCCATTTTTTCAATGGACCACCATTGGGAGGGGAGTTACTCCATCCGATAATGGCGATAAGGAAACACAGGAAACGATACGCGAAATGATGAAAAAATAATAATTAAAATTATTTCTATTATTATTTATAATGCAAGATGTTATAAATAATATTCTTAAATTCATTGATGTAAAAGAATTGAAATTAAATAATTTTATTGAAGAATATAACGAAAATGATATATTAATTAATTTTGTTAATGACTTTAGAAATAGTAAAATTGATTTTAACATGTTTTATAATTCTATTAATTATGCTGATTTATTTGAACAATCAGATTTAAAATTCTATTGTAAAAGAATATATTCATATACTTTAAGATTTATTGCTAATTATGATAATAAAAATGCTATTCAGTTTTATGAAATTACATTGAAAAAAATGAATAATATTTACAAGAATAGTAACATTAATGTTGTTAATGTGTTTGAATGTATTAAATGTTTAATAATTTATATTACAGATAATATTGAAAAGTTTCATAAATATTCAAAATTTAGAAAAACTATTATTTGTAATTTAATTGGTAAATTGAATAATAATTTAACGAGTTACACAATAACTAATTTTGAATTGACTTATAATGATATATGATTTTGTAAAATAAAAGTTTAGTTTTAAAAGTTTTATTTTATAATATAATATATATATTTACATGGATGAAGGATTAGAAAAGATGGTTAAAAAACTGAACAAGGTTTTAGAACAGAATAAGAATATTTTAGAAATCTTGCAAGAAATGGAAAAGAAGAAACCTTTAACAAACAGTTATCAAAGTAAGGAAGTAGATCGAACCAATGGTGAATATAAAAATAAAAGAAATATTTATTTAAACAAACTTAATAACAAAGAAATTAAAGAACCGAAGGCTTCAACTATGACATTTTATCAAATTGACTATGATGAAGATACAGGGGTTTATTCTTGATTAAAAACATGTTTCTCTGAAAATCCGTTTAAAGACATATTGGCATAACTAATATTATGAGTTCTACAGATGATGAAGAAGAAGCAGGATGCACAATGGTTTATCCTTGCAGTAAATGCGACGAAGCAAAGCCAAGAAAGGACTTTCACAAAATGTATGACAGAATTAAAATGGAAGAGATATTTTACAAAACATGTAAGGAATGCAGAGACAAAGTAAAAGCAACAAAAGAGTTAAGGAAGGAACAGAAGAAACGAATACAACCCCTGGAAATACATAGATTAAAGCCTTTGATACCATAGTTTTGCTATACTTACAACATGTAAGATCTTATATGTTGTAATTATAATTCGCTTGATTTAAAAGTTTCCCTGAAAATGTATTTAAAGAAATATTACCTTAATATAATAAGAGGAAAATGAACGATGATAAAATCAATAATTATATCAATAAAAAATGCTATGATTGTTGTCACTTCAAAAAAGAAAATATGGAATTGTATAAATTAAATTTACCTAATGAAATAGTGAATAATATTATTAATTATTCAATGGATGAAGAAGATTTATGTAAAATTTGTAGAAATTGGAGATATTATCAAGAATTAATCAGATGTCTGTTGGGAATAAAAAGAATTCGACATAGAAATGTAGAAGATGATATTTTAATATTTCTAACTGTAAATAAAATACCACCTTATGATTATGTTAAACAGTTTCTTAAAATTAGTATGAAAAAATATGGAATGATGGATGATATATTATGGTTGTTGTGTTATAGTCAAGATAAAGGAGAAGATGTTAAAGAAAATATCAAATTATTTATTGAAAGTAAAAAGTTTAATGTTCAGAATACAGTGAGAGATGTTAATATTATTTTTAAAATGATGTATGAAAGAAGAAAGATTTGTCAATTAAATTATTATCCTGTACTGAAATTATAATCATACTATAATAATAACATGTAAAATCTTATATGTTATAATTATAGTTTAATTTTCCCATATAAGCCGTGGGGGTGCTTTCCTACATAGGCCTTTCCCATCCGCATTTTGCCATCCATATTTTACTGGGATTATTTTCAAGATTTGGGTTAACGGTTTTAATTCTCCCTTTTCCATTGGTTAACCATTTTCCGGGGCGAACATAGGGTTCTTTTTTAGACTGTTCGTATTTGTTGGAAATGGGAAAGGGTCTCAGGTTGGATCAAGGGAGAAATTATTGAGATCTTGGGGTTGCGATCTTGGGAATGAAACAATGTTGGTATGTAGCTTGGATTTTTTTGGTGGGATTTGTTGAGGTGGTATGTAGTTATGATTGTTGTTATTGAATGAGTGTAAGGGTGATGTTGAGATGGGGTAAGAAATGAAGAGGGGTGTGTGAATATGTGTTTTTTGGAGTTGGATTGGTTGGGTGATTGAATTTGAATGTTGAAAATAGGTTGTTTTAGTGGGCGTATTCAGAATGTGCCCAAAAGTGTGGGGGGGACCCTATGACCGGATGGCAAAATGCGGACGGGAGAGGCCTCCACTAACTTTTACCCCCCCAGAAGGGGTTGAAATCCCACCACCGGATTCTCAGCCACCGATTGGGGCACGTCGTCAAGGGATGCCATGATCGACACGCCCCAAAGGAGAAAAACAAAAACAAACACGTGTCTTTTTGACTGGAGGGATCAAAAGCAAAGCACTGGAACTCTGCCTTGATCAGATCCCCCGCTAAAAGTTTAACTTTTCGTGGGTCTGGAAACTACCAACACTAAAAGGCTAAAAGGCTAAGGAACCGGATGTCTGGGAGCCACCAAGTAGAATAGGGTTCGTTAAAGTCATAAAACATCACCTACAAATTGGGCCTCTGAAGTGGGCGTCAACCCAAGGTGTAGCCTTGACAACACAAGCCCTTACACTTCTCCCCAATCCCGAAGAAATCCCCCAACAGCCGATCTATGTCAGGAAACCAAGGGGAAACAAACACTTCAGCAGATCTGCATGTCTTTTTCTTGTTGCAACATGCCATTCCCAAAAAGTAAGTCCGGGAACTCGAGCGGGTGTGCTCAGCTTTCGCCAATTCCGGCCAATGGCGAACATGTGGGCCGACCACATGTTATCTGTGCATGTCTGTGCGTGTGTGCGTGTGTGCCTTTTACCCTCGTGGCGAAGGTACAGCAGGTCCTCCAGTAGAAAGGTTAGAATAAGGGTACCAACATTTTTCTGTAGTCTATTTTAGTAGGGGAACCCTCCCAAAAAAAAAGGTAAAAGGGCACTACGGGGGGACCTAGACAGACATCTGTTGTCTCTTTGGAGTGTCTGTTCGACACGCGCAGCGAGATGTATTCGGCGCTTCACTGGCGCGCGAGATCGAAGCCTTGAACGACGAACTAGACATCGAGCTGAGATACCGCTACCTTCCAGCCGCGGGTGGCAGTCGCGCGAATATAGTGGATCATGTCACCGGTCTTGCGTCCACTCGCATTGGGCAGCGAAACACTGGCCACACCCACCGTACCAGCGTAAACAAGACGAGTCTTCGCACCAAGCCTTTCAAAAAACAGGGGGAGTGGGTGTTCGTCCTCAGAATGGGGGCACTTGTCGCTTCCGGCGAGAAGGGTATCCAAGAAGAATATCTCTGCAGAGGATGAATCCCCCTCTTGGTCAAAAACGCGCCCGTTGTAGTACGCACCCTCCGCTCGGGTAAAAAAACAAATGTTGTCGTTGCTCGGAGGCAGGTGGCAGATGCCATAGTCAAACGCACTGCCGTTCTTCGCTTTGAAGGAGCTGTAAACTAGGTGCTCCAGAAGAGAGGCTAGAATAAGGGTACCCTTTTTTCTGTAGTCTATCTTAGTAGGGGAACCCTCCCCCCAAAAAGTGACGGTAAAAGAACGCCTAGCTGGAGGACCTAGTAAAAGTCGCCAAAGTTCCCCTCGAAAGCGTCGACCATTTGGATCAGTTCTTGGATCCAAGGCGGCAGATGATAAACACAGGTCCTTTCGCGCCTTTCGCACTTGGTCCTCTTCCTGTCTTGTTTTGTCAGAAAAATCGCTCCCTCAACTCCTCCTCAAAACCTTCGCTCCGAGTCCTGGACATGTGCATGACTCGACTGTGCGTCGACCTCCCTGCCTTCCTTGCACCAATTGCACTGCCCTGGCCAAACAGCCTATCCGCGCTTGCTTGCTGTTTAATGATTCGCCCTTTGGCCAAAGGGCCTGAGAGGCCGTTTCCTTCCTTTGGTATTGGCTTTCTTTCGCTGCGCCATACCGCCCCATCTGCCCGAAGCGGCTCTTTCACCATGTCCTTGATCTGGTACGACAGTCCCATGTTGGAGGTTGCAGGTTGCACACGCCGTGCCACGAATCGTAGTGCAGGAACGAGCCTGTGCACCGCACTTCTTCTGCTTGGCTCGCCACAAACTATGTCCATGTCGGGAAACCTTTCCGGGGATGGATACCCATTCCACTAGCGTGAACCCTGACTGAAGGCTCCTGGACTACGTTCTTTCAACCACGACCCTTTGGTGAGTCCCATGTTTGCGGACTGGAGGTATGAAGGTACTCTGCTTCCCTAGCCCACCCTGAAAAACCAGGCAAAGGACACCTAAAAATGAGCCAAAGAGACACAGCCGAGGTCTTACCACGGTTGAGCCATTAAAAGCGATCGGTTGTAAAATGGTCCATCCAAACACATGCAAAGAACTCAAAGCGGCGATACCATATCGCGCCCCTTGGCTTCGTCTAAGCACCATCTACCCGGGTCCTCAAGCTTTAGCAGACTCAAAGCACCCAACTGGAGCACTGATCTCTTGTTCCCTTTCTCTTTAAGCGAAGCAATCGAATTTTGCCCCTCAAGAAACACCGAAGACTAGGTTCTCCAGAGAGATTAGAATATACGGGTACCAACTTGTTTCTGTCTACTTTAGTATGGGCTTGCCCTCCCAACCAACAAATTGGAACGGTAAAAGAAGGGGCACCAATTGGGGGACGTCCAGACGTCCATCTGGAGCACTGATCTTCAGCCTGTGTGGAACTCCCGCTGGAAGTGCACGAGATCATCGCAATCCTTGGGCCCTGGCCGGTCGAAAGCTCCCAAAGGATCCGTCTCGGGCCGGGCGGTCCGTTTTTGGGGGCTGCCCGTTTTTCAGATCCCCTGCTAGAAACTAACCTTAGTTGACTAACAGACCAAGGGGAAACCAACAGGTCAGAAATCAGGTCGATTCGCTTCACGCGCTGTTCCTACCCTTTGGTCTCGCCCGCAAGATCTGGTTCTCTAAGTCTCTGAAACCCAACCGCCAGGGCATTCTTCTGTTTGCTTCCATCTAAGCGTCTGCAGAGTGATTTTGGGACCCGAAATGGTGGATGGGGATTCCACCAAGCCATGGGCTTCGGTTGGATGGCCTGCTCCTAAGGGGGGGGGGGGGCGGGGGGGGGGGGGGGGGGTGTCCATTTGATCACTTTTGGGCCCACCTTCTATGACACGGGTCAACCTGCGCGAAACACGTCTGATTCATCCACTCAGGAACCCCCGACAGGAACCGCATCATGGGCGATTTGTTTTTGTGCCCTCGTGCTTTTTTGATTCAAATCTTCACCCCAAGGGCGGCTATGAGGTTTTGGAGGTATGGATGCGGAGAGAAAAAAAAACACCCATGTCTGCATCCAGGCAAAAACAAAAACTGATCTAAGTGGCATACAATCTCCATACCTCTAACACCCCCATACCTTAAAATGCCTCTTCAATATAATTCATACCTTAAATATATACCTCCATATTCTTAAAACCATATCGCCAGCCCCAAACAAGGGGACAGGCCCAACCATCTGCTCGACGAGGAGTGAGAGTTCTGGCTGGGGATACCACTTAGACGTACTGAGTCGCGAAGCTCGCAAGAGATCAGACTCCCTATCTAGGTTTTTGAGTAGAGAGGTTAGAACAAGGGTACCCACCTTTTTTTTCCGGTAGTCTATTTTAGTAGGGAAACCCTCCCCCAAAGAAGGGTAAAAGGGCACTACTGGGGGACCTAGCTATAGTTGGGGTTTTGGCCCGGTTTGGAGGTTCCCGGGCGTTTGGAGCTTGACCCGGTACAAGAATCGGCACAAATTCCCAAACCAATCCAGGCCAAGTAAGGAGTGCGCAACCGGAGGTCTAGGCGTAACTTTTGGATTCAACAAAAAGTCGCTGTTCTCATCAGGGCTGTGGGAAATGGAATCCACTTCTGTGATACAACAAAAAGGGGCTCGCAAAGACCAACCCCCCATATAAAGAGGGGATTCCCTTGTATCACAGAAGTGGTTGGATAAACCCCGAGTGATCCCACAACCCTGGTTGCCAAAAAGTCGCTGTGTCCCCTTTTTGGGCCCTGAAATTTCTTGCCAAGGTCTGGGTGTTGAACATGGGAACCTGAACCCCCCCAAAATGAGTTTCGGTTCCCTTTTGGTTTCCCAAGAAACACACCCAAAACCCGGTTCCCTGTTCCTGGGATTCCCCTGACCGAAAGGGGACAACTCCCTTTACGCACCACCTTACCACTTGGTTGGCGTTGGAAGGGGATCAAAAAATTAAACTTTGGCCGTTAAGTGGGGATTTCAACCACTAAACCACAATAAGCAAAAAAAGGAAAACGTTTCCCAACAACAACCATGTTTACACACCACCTTACCAACCGAAAGGCAACAACACATCCAATTCGACATCCCCCGACACATCGCCGGCCTGAGAGCGCGTCTGAATATCCCAGACCCGAAGCCTGCTTCAAGACGACCGGGTTTCTCGGCGAAAAAAATGCGCTGGGCTGGGGAAATTGGGGTACCGTGGTACCCCACTTCCATTCTGGGCTGCCTTCAGATCCCCCCTAAAAGTTTAACTTCTAGTGGTTTGAATGGAACCTCACTAAACACTAAAGAGCTAAAAAGCTAAGGAACCGGATGGCTGGGAGCCACCAAGTAACCCGGACTCGTCATCGCTTTTGGGCGTTTCTGATTCCGTCGATGGGGAAAAATACATTTACCACGACACGTTCTTTTGATTCACACCTCGCACCTCGAATTTGAGCCCGCTTCGCACCATAAGTCTTGTGTCCAGGCTACATGCCACACGGACGCTGAGAACTCCAAATTGGATGCTGCCAATTGGACATCGATCGAATTCCTGGGGCATGTGGGACCAAAGGGCGAATCTATCCCCGAACTTGATCAACATGTTGCACTGATCTGCCTGCAGTAAAGCAATTGGTACAATGCTGTTCTCTTTTTTGGTGTAGTCATTCCCTTTGCCTACCTGCAAGGGAATTGTGCCACTTTCTTTCTCCCAGGCCCAGGTGTTAAAACATGGCACTCATTTCATGGGGCCGGGGGGAGGGTTTCCGGGAGGATTTCGGGAGCCCTCCCTTAAGCCCTAAAGATATTTCCAACCACCTGAAATGGCTATGGATGAAAATTAGACCACCAACATATGGACCGCAGATTTTAGTCCTTGGTTCCATTTCCCCATTTTGGGCCTGGGTACCCATTTTAGACCCAAGAAAACCGCAGATTTGAGTCCTTGGTTCCATTACCCAACCCATTTTGGGCCTTTTCACTACCCATTTTTGACCCACACCCAAATGAGAATTGGATCCATGGCTCGCTCAGTCTTTGCCGGATCAATTTAGCTCGGAAGGCTCTCATCCCGCAGAATGCAGATTTGCAGCAATCGCGGGCTTCTCTGGGCTGGTTGTTTCTTTGGGTGCACTTTCCCTTTGGTTCTTTCTTGGAAGCCCCCCTCTCTCTTTTTGGAAACGCCCCTTCTGCGCTTGTGTTGGGCGTTCTTTGAGGGAATTCCCTTTTGGTTTTCTTTAAAAGGGACCCGCAAAGACACGCAAAAAAAAACTGCTTTTTTTTGGGGGGCTTCAGCGGCTGACCTTTGGTCACTCGCGAAGGCGAGTGCGCGCTTCCAGGCCTTGAGGGTGGACACGCTGGTGGTCAACAAGCAGCCTCCGTCCGGCCAATAGGTGAAGTGCAGGCACCTCGGCTCCTTCTTGCACTCCACCTGCGCCAAACAATCCTGGTGATGATATCTCGCTCACTCTCGGCATATATATATATATATACAATTATATATGTATATATACACACGCATGATACACATAAGCATGTGATCCAGACATACATATATATATATGGTACCCCCCCCAGTACCCAGGTCTTGTTGCATCATGTATCAAAACCATTGATATGTACAGTGTATTTTGATTGAACTCATGCATTTTCTGCAAGGCCATTTTGTGGACCAACAAACCCAAAAACAAAACAAACCAAAAAACCAAAAAAGCCAAAAAAAGAAAAAAAGAAAAAAAAATCAATCCTAGCCCCCACCATGGCTGGGATTCTTTGGTTTTTTGGTTTTTTGGGTTTTTTGGTCCAGGGAAATGTTGCGCAACAAATTCCAAATGTTGCGCAACATTTGCGGAGCATGAGAGGATATGTGCACCTTTGTGAAAGAAGGCATGTTCTGGGTGAGAGGATATGTGAATTTTCTGTAGAGAAGAGTTATTGAAAAAGACATGTTTTTGTGCGAGATGATATGTGGGTCTTTGTGGAAGAGTCAGGGTTACAGTGATTCATAAAAGACAGCAAAAGACAGTCAATATCATGTAATACCACCCTTTATGTAACACAAACGGTCCCAGCCATAGCCTGGTTTTATTCTACACAGGGTTCACTTTCCTTGGCAACTCTTTCACATATGCTGCCTTTGTTTCATTGAAAGAAGTCTTGTAAAAAGACATGTTGGGTGAGAGGATGTGTGAACTTTCTGTGGAAGAGTCTTTGAATGAAACAAGGCATGGTTTGTGGGAAGATATGTGAGCTATCTGTGGAAGAGCCTCTGAAAGAAGGCATGGTTTGTGTGGGCGGATACGTGAATTGAATTTTGTCTGGAAGAGCCATTGAAAAAGGGCATGGGTTTGGTGAGGGGATATGTGATTCCTTGTGAAAGAAGGCATGCAAAAAGACATGTTTGGGTGAGAGGATGAAAGACTTGTCTGTAGATAAGAGTTGTTGAAAAGACATGCTTTGTGTGAGATGATGTGTGAAGATTCTGTGGAAGAGTCTTTGAAAGAAGGCATGGTTTGTGTGGGAAGATATGTGGGTTTTCCGTGGAAAAGCCTTTGAAAGAAGGCATGGTTTGTGTGGGAAGATATGTGAATTTTCTGTGGAAGAGCCTTTGAAAAAGGGCATGTTTTGGTGAGATGATGTGTGAACCTTTGTGAAAGAAGGCATGTAAAAAGACATGTTTTGGGTGAGAGGATGAACAAAGTTTCTGTAGAAAAGACATGCTTTGTGTGAGATGATGTGTGAATATATTCTGTGGAAGGGTCTTTGAAAGAAGGGGTTTGTGTGGGAAGATATGTGAATTTGCTGTGGAACAGCCTTTGAAAAGTGGCATGTTTTGGTGAGAGGATATGTGAACCTTTGTGAAAGAAGACATGTTCTGGGTGAGAGGATGTGTGAATTTTCTGTAGAGAAGAGTTATTGAAAAAGACATGTTTTTGTGCGAGATGATATGTGGGTCTTTGTGGAAGAGTCAGGGTTACAGTGATTCATAAAAGTACAGCAAAAGATAGTCAATATCATGTAATACCACCATTTATGTAACACAAACTGTCCCAGCCATAGCCTGGCTTTATTCTACACAGGGTTCACTTTCCTTGGCAACTCTTTCAAATATGCTGCCTTTGACTTGTCTGTAGATAAGAGTTGTTGAAAAGACATGCTTTGTGTGAGATGATGTGTGAAGATTCTGTGGAAGAGTCTTTGAAAGAAGGCATGGTTTGTGTGGGAAGATATGTGGGTTTTCCGTGGAAAAGCCTTTGAAAGAAGGCATGGTTTGTGTGGGAAGATATGTGAATTGAATTTTGTGTGGAAGAGCCATTGAAAAAGGGCATGGGTTTGGTGAGGGGATATGTGATTCCTTGTGAAAGAAGGCATGCAAAAAGACATGTTTGGGTGAGAGGATGAAAGACTTGTCTGTAGATAAGAGTTGTTGAAAAGACATGCTTTGTGTGAGATGATGTGTGAAGATTCTGTGGAAGAGTCTTTGAAAGAAAGAAGGCATGGTTTGTGTGGGAAGATATGTGGGTGGAAGAGCCTTTGAAAGAAGGCATGGTTTGTGTGGGAAGATATGTGAATTGAATTTTGTGTGGAAGAGCCATTGAAAAAGGGCATGGGTTTGGTGAGGGGATATGTGATTCCTTGTGAAAGAAGGCATGCAAAAAGACATGTTTGGGTGAGAGGATGAAAGACTTGTCTGTAGATAAGAGTTGTTGAAAAGACATGCTTTGTGTGAGATGATGTGTGAAGATTCTGTGGAAGAGTCTTTGAAAGAAGGCATGGTTTGTGTGGGAAGATATGTGGGTTTTCCGTGGAAAAGCCTTTGAAAGAAGGCATGGTTTGTGTGGGAAGATATGTGAATTGAATTTTGTGTGGAAGAGCCATTGAAAAGGGCATGGGTCACGTCCAAGGCGTCTTTCTTCAATGAGGCAAACCTCCTTCCTCTGGTCTCCCAGTGTGCAAATCTGAGCTATTCTTCCTGCCTGCTTCCGCGGTCAAAGCACATCTGAACCAAGCCCAAACCTGGGTACCTGGGGGGGGGGTAGCAGATATATATATATATATATATATATATTATACACATGATACACATACGCATGTGATCTATACATCTATATATGCGTATTGTACTCATGTAGTCCATGTGCGGCAAACAATACATATGTATACATAACATACATAGCTAGTGCAAGAAGGTAAAAACTCAAAATATGAAGTGGTAGCCCCGCCCCCCCGACTTTGACGATACCTAGGAAGGATTGGGGAGCTGTTAGGGAGAGAATGTTTCTTTAGGTTTTTCTTTAACACCTTACCAAAACAGTACCCTCAAATCAAGACAGCCCCAAGTGGACGTTTGGTGTTTGTTCAAGGGGGTGGTTCCCCCACTTTAAAGGGGTTCAGATCATTGAAGAAGGGGGTCCTCTTACGGTCCTCCGGATTCATCCGAAGTGAAAACGGGACCAATGTGATATCCAGGAAAACATCAAGGGACTTGTTTCACCCTCCCTTTTCCCCCGTGCTGTTATCCGCAAAAAAAAACAAATCGAAAAATCATGAAGAACCATTAAATGCTAAACTACACTCTCTCTTTTAATAACAAATCATTAAACGTGGTCCTCAGACTCCGAAACGGACATTCTGGTAAGGCACGGCTGACGAGCTGAACCTTCCTACAGCCAGCATGAGGAAAAGATGCCGCAAACAAACTCCGTTACAACCTTCCCAAGAACAAGTCTGAACTGCCCCCGCAGATCCGCAATGGTACCAATTAAAAGCGTTTGAGAGGTGCGGAGGTCAATCAGTCCTGTATGAACATACCATGATTAGAGTTAGGCCCAGTAATAGAATTTACATCTTATTGTTTGCTTCACTTTGAGTCACTGGTAAAATGTAAAATGTATCCTAAGTCCACCCTAGATACAACAACAAGCCTAAAACAAAGGGTTTTGTTTTTGGGGCATGTGCCAGTTAACGATCGCTACCCATGCCGCTGATTTGGTTGGTCCATTTGAGCAGAACCAAACCAAGCGTTGCTTTCGGGTTACAACAGGGCTGAAAACGTTCATAAGCTGTGCTACGCCAATTCAGCCATGTAGAACCCGCACAGAAACTATTAGCAGTAGAAGTACCCTCCCCCCCCCCACCCCCCCCAAAACAAAAACACACCCCACCCTCCCAATACAAACATGTAGCACACCCACCTGCTAAAGGGGGGCCCTGAAGGTGCTGAACCGCTCCGCGCCTGGCAGGCTTCCGGCGACGGCTGGTAGGTCTCCAATTCCCCCGCCATCATGGCGGGGTGGTGATAGTACACGCCTCGCACCGGAAAGAACGGCGAGGCGACCTTCCGCTCCTGGGTTTTGCGGAGAAAGAAGCAAGAAAAGTGGAAGACGATATTCTAGGGGTTGATTCCAACCATTCTTTGCAACCATCGTTCTTTTCAAACACCGGCTGTTTCCCTGGATTTTTGATGATTTCCTGAAAACAAGGATCCCTGGAAAGAATGGAAATGGAAGGTACCCCTAGAGATATAGTGAAATCGCCAAAGCGCAGGGTTAACTTGCTGGTGCGATGGGCAGGGAATGTGGCAATGAAGCCAGGTTTTGGTCCATACTCGAAGGAAATCACAAGTTGGATGGTTTGTAGGGGTCATTCCATTTCTCATTCCCTGAGCACGAGGAAGTTGAAACGTGTTCTTCCATTTGCTGAGAAGCCCAATGGAAACTTATGGCAACTATTTCCCCAGGACTCCAGTAGTAAAATCGACTCCCTTTAGATGCGACAAGGGAAAGTGAACAACAACTGTTCAACTGTTCTTAAAGAAATGGAAGTTGTTCACAGTATGGCGGCTTTCCTTATGTTTTGTTTCTTTTGACAACACCAAAAAAAGGCTACCACCAAAAATGGACACACCCAAGTGGCAACTTGTGACATCCAAGCCACATGGACATATTGGAGTATTCTTGGAAATCACCTAAACTAAGTCTAGGTCCTCCAGTAGAGGGGTTAGAATGAGGGTACCCTTTTTGCTGTAGTCTATTTTAGTAGGGGAACCCTCCCCCAAAAAAGAAACGGTACAAGGGCACTGGGAGACCTTTGTCGCTTTCCAATGAGCAAACTGTTGGTCAGCTTTTGTAGGTTGAATGTGCCGATTGGTCGGATGGGCTGCAACAGCCTTGTAACATCCCAACCGGATTGAGGCGCAATCCAAAATGAACACATTTGCCATTCCCATCTCCCGCATTCCCGCAACCCGGACAAAAAATCACCATAGGCAAAGGAACCGCTTCTTTTTCTCCCATAGTTCGTCTCCTACCTGTCAATGAGGGACTTCTTTCCCCCATAATGCCAAACAACCGTGAAACCCAATGCTGGCATCTACTGGCTGCAACTACGCCTTCGCTCAATGTCGACCAGCAAACTTGCCTCATGCTTGGTTTTTGTTCCAGCACTCCAACTCTTCTGAGTCACTTTGCTAGTGCTCCCATGTGACGACAAGCTGCGCAACTGGATGCACTATGCTGTGCTTCGAAGCCAACTTTGACAAGCGCACCTGCTTCACCCGAGTTGACTTTTGGTTCCACACGCTTAGGCAAACCAAACCACCTCTCCGACAAAAATCTATATTTTGTTGTTTGTTGTGCTTGTTTCTTTCCTCTTGTGTTTCTTTTGGGGGGGTGTTTGGGCGCGGAACATGCAGGTGTTGTTGTGTTTGTGTTTGTGTGTGTGTGGCGTGGCGCCCAGGTTTTCCGTTTTCCCGGCCTTGCACGAAGCAGGGCATGTCTTCCGGCGGCTCTTCATCCAGCTGCAGCAGCTGGCTCACAACCGCCTGCCATTGCAAACATATCCCATGGAAAAAAATGAGACTCCGGGGGAAGGAGTCAGTAACAACTGGATCAAACTTGCCGCTTCCAAACTTGTGATCCACTTTTCGATCACGGATTTTTCATGAGTGCTATGGTCGAAAGACCCCTTTACTCGTACTCGGAGGTATTCTGTGATCATTCTCGGGAAAAGCCTGTGACGAACGGCGTCCCTTATTTGACACATCATAGGCGTCGTCGCAAGAACCCTCGTGGTCGGACTTCAAGTTGGGTATTTGTTCGCTGCGGCTTTACTACGTCTCTGAAGCGATGTGGCGCCCTATGAAAAAAAAACGACATGGTGCATATGAATGGATGCATATGAGCCGAAAGCATCAAGCTTCATGTCTGGTCCCTCGAAGCCAATTTTTGCTGAGTTCATCCCCCCCCTTCTCGGAGCTCCGGGAGATGTACCTCTCGGAATACACATATTCCAAGGTACCTAGTTGGGAGCCAGCAGGGAACATCCGCTCCGGGTGCACGGCAACTGCTTTTGAACTAATTCACCCATTGGATTGGTCACAAAGGGCAACTCGCCTTACCATTGGCAACCAGGTGCTGTTTAAAATCACCCTGAGGGACACATCTGGGCAAATGAGCATAGTTCACCAACGCTAAAGGATCCCTATGACAGAAACGTCGCCCAGGCCCTCCGAGTCCGAGTCGGAGACCCGAAACGTCGAAATTTTACTCTCAAACCCAGGGTTTCCTTCGGGCAAGGTGATGTTCCTGACTAATTCCCCCCCTGCCCCCCCAGTTAGGAGCTAAGAAGGTTCCGGGAAGAAAGGATTTTCCAATAAACAAGGATCCTCTGATTCGTAACTCAGTTTTTTTTGTCTTAAATCAGAGGTCGAAGCGGTTTGGCACACGGCCACCCCCCACTCCCCCCCTGAGACACCCCCCCCCCCCCCTCGCCGCATTTGTTATTTGGATGGCATGCCTGCACATTCTTTCGCACGGGGACCAGCAGCACCAGGCCCAAACACCTCAGAGCGATGCAGCCATTCGGGCAACGTCGCTCCAAGTGGCTGGGGGGAAATCCAGCGCCCAGGATCCCGTGGACAACACTGGAGTCACGATCAAAACCTGGCGGTTAAAATGGATGACCCAGAGTCATGTAAGGAAAAATACCACGGATATCCGCAGCTGTTTCTGGCGGGGACTCTCCCTGAGTAACTTTGGGATGAATGACCCCCTGAATGGGATAAGCCGATAAAGAGATGGATTACATAGACACATAGATCAAATGGATATTTAAAGGGAACCCCTCCAACAAGCCAAACTAACATAGGTTCAAATCCGAAATTAGATCCAAACCACCAATCCAAACCATCAGTAAAGGGTAACCTGAGATGCTTAGCCTCCCTTTGCTGAGGAGTCTGGAAACAAACAAGATGCCCTTCAAAACCAGGGGAATAACACACAAGACGCTTCACTTCAGCCAATGGAAGCTAATAAACCACAGGTTCAAAGCCATGACTTTTTAGTTGTGGACCCTTTCCACCAACCACTTTGCAGGTGGTTGCCCAGTACTCACTTTCTGAGTGGGCTGGCCAAACAAAGCAACCAAACTGTTTGTTCACCGCTCAATTCCAGGAACTCAGCATGCTCAATGCATGTTCAGTTCGAGGTGTCCTTCTTTTTTCGAGGGCGCGCCATTTTTGGCTTGGTCTAGAGGGCAACCAACGGAAGACTGGGACACCACCGGTCATGCTACCAGAAATCCGTGGCTTGGATTGGTGGTTTGGGGACTTGAACTGTTCTTGTGGAGCGTAAACATGGCAAACCACCCCTTAACCAAAAAGACAACCACCAATCCAAACCCCCAACCAGAAAAAAGCTGAAACGGAACTCAGGAATTGAGACTCAACTAGGTCCTCCAATAGAGAGGTTAGAATAAGGGTACCAACTTCTTTCCGTAGTCTATTTTAGAACCCTCCCAACCAAAAAAGAAACGGTGAGAAAGGGCACCAATTGCTGGGGGACCCAAAGCCAAGGGAACCCAGACCGGCCCCTCTTGGCGCCCCCGACAGCGCCAGCAGCAGCGAGCGCCGGGTCACCTTGAAGCGGCTGGCCTCCACCTGTTCAAATGCTCTATACGTGCGGCGGAAGGGTTATTTTTTCCTAGGTTCGCGCGCCAGCCCGGACCCAGAAAAGCTGTTCAAAGACGCAGGGTTGGTTTAGGGTAGGGCTTGACTTACGGTTGGTTTAGGGTTGGCTTAGGGTGGATGTAGGGCTGGTTTAGGGTTGATTTGGGTTGGGTTAGGGTTGTTTTTGGGTTGGTTTAGGGTCGGTTTAGGGTTGGTGTATGGTTGGTTTAGGGCTGGTGTAGGGCTGGTTTGGGGTTGGTTTAGGGTGGTTTAGGACTTGTGTTGGGTTAATTTAGGGTGCAGGGTTGGTGTAGGGTTGGTTCAGGGCTGGTTTGGGGTTGGTTTAGGGCTGGTGTAGGTAGGGCGGGTTTGGGGTTGGTTTAGGGTGGTTTGGGACCTGTTTTGGGTTGGTTTAGGGCTTGGTTTAGGCTGGTTTGGGGTTGGTTTAGGGTTGGTTTTGGGGCTTGTTTAGCTTGGTTTAGGATGGTTTGGGGTTGGTTTAAGAATGGTGTAGGGCTGGTTTGGGGTTGGTTTAGGGCAGTTTAGGACTGGTTTAGGGTTGGTTTAGGGCTGGTTTAGGGTTGGTTTGGGGTTGGACCGACTGATCGACCGATCAATGAAACGGACCAATCCACCGACCAATCCACCGACCGACCGACACCGACCGACTGAGGCGACCGACTGACTGGGAGACCAGACCGGCTGAGCCAACACCCCAGCACCACGCAGCAAAACGGCCGCGCCAAACCTAGGAAAACAAGAACTCGGGGCCTCTACGTGCCGTGTACCAAAACCATCTCTGGCCGCCATCTATGGTTGGGATCGACTATCTAGCCCTCTGTCATTTATCCGGGTTTTGAGCAAGTGGATGGCTGCATCAATCCTCGGCTGCTTTCTGCTCCCCTGCTAAAAGTGACTAACTTCCAGTGGTTTAGTTCGGAAAACCCGACTTAGTTGGATCAAAAAGTGAAAGTCAGTCCTAACATCCCGAAAGGCAAAATGCGCCAAAGTTATGCCCTTAATGTTAACCCCGGATGAATAAACCCCTGGTTGATTTTGGTTGGGGGGTGGCTCAACGATTTCGGCATTGAACGGACCCATGGCCACCTGGCCATGTTGACCCCGGTTTTCATGACCTGCCTGATTTTGATGGGGATCCCCTTTGCTTCCATTTGGCTAAGCCCCCTCAACAAAAGCGAAAATATGTCCAGTAGTCATAGACTCCCTTTTAAACCACCAGTGGAAAATAATTTGAACCATCTTAACCAAATGGGAGTTTTAGTGGGGCTTCAGACCAGTTTTGGAGGCTCTCCCTCTGACCTAAAAAAACGGGAAGAGCTTTTGAAGTTCAAGAAAAGTCCCGCAAAAAAAAAGGTCTTTCTGGGTAATTTCCCCCCCCCCCCCAAACAAAAAAATGGCGGGTATGCCTCTTCTCGGGCAACACACAATTGGTCATTTGGGGGATACACGATTTTGAGAACCCATATTTCGTTCCCTGGACCGGGACATAGAGTGGGGGCTGGTACGCCACAAGCATTCGAGTGATGTTAGGATGTTCGACTTACCCTCACACCAATTAACAGAAGGAACCTGACGTGTCTGGGGGTGGAAGACTACTTCCTTTTTTTGGGACTGGGGTTCCTGTCAGGTTCCATGTTAATTGGTGGGCCATGTTAATTGGTGGGAGAGTACGCTACTTCATTTTGTTTGGGCCCCCCGCCTGTGAAAAGCGGGGGTGTTTTTTTTTGGCCCCCAGCAACTTCGTCCTCCTTTTTTTGGTTTGCAAAGGGGTCATGTTTTTGTTTTGGGGGGAAAGGGGTCAAAAACCAAAACATGGGGGAAAGGGGTCAAACATGTTTGTTACTTGTCGGGCAACAAAAGTTGCTGATGTCCCAGGCTTCGGCCGACCTCGTGTGGTTCTTTTTTGGGCTTGGTGTGTGTGTGTGTGGGTGTGTTTTCATTTATTTTGGGCGGCACTGTCCTTGAGTAGGGCCCTTTTGCCCTCTTTTGGGGGAGGGTTCCACTGCTAAAATAGACCACAGAAGGAAAAAACACGTACTCTTATTCTAACCTCTCTACTGGAGGACCTAGTTTTGGTTGGTCTTTGTTATGTGGTTCTCCGAGTCCGGCTGTTTTTTCATCGGGTTTGTGGAGCTTCGGAGTCCCCAAACGTTTACTCTTGCCCGAGGTCACCCTTTGGTTGCCACCTTTGGATGAGAAGCGAATCGTTGCTTGACTGACAGGGTCGCCTAGTGCGCATTCAGGTGAGGCAAATCGACCCGCAACGCTGCAAATCATGTCCACCAAATCGGGCCGGTTTATCATCCGTAGCCATATTTCTTCACGCCACAATCAGTTCCTTTGTGGCAGACAGAGCCAAGGCATGGACAAACATATGTTTTTGTCGTGGTTCCCGAAAGGTGCCCCGGGCGAATTGACGGCAACTTTTTCACTGAATCTTCCGGGGCGTTTTCGGCCCAACCGGTCCAAGCTTGGAGATGGGTCACCTAGACGGTCTATGGCTAGAGATGGTTTGCCCTTTGTCAATGGTAGTGGCTGTGGCAACACCACCCCTTCACGACACCCAGCTGTTTTGCCATACCCTCTTTCCCAGCGTGGCACCTGACAAGGGGTTCTTCTCCAAAGCTGATCTTCCAGGTGCCCTCCCTCGGGTGCCATGCTAGTGGGAGGAAGGGTTCGCTTTTTTGGGTGGCACCTACTTCCTGTCAGGGTTGACGTAACATACCCCAGCAAAAAATTGGAAAAACACAAATTTGGGCCTCATACCCTAGCAAAAATTCCAATCATTTGGAGGCACGAGGCCCAATTTCTTGGGTGGCGGGGAGGGAAGCTAGCGCTGGCTGACCGGAAGTTAGCGCTTAACGAGAGTCATCACAGAAATGGGCACACCCATGTTTCAAGGGATTTTGACTGCATTGGTGGATTTTGTTCTGTTGCAAGTATATGACCATTTGACCTTCAAATTGGCAGGGGCATAGAGCACTGAGATGAGGCTATCCTTCTCCACTCACAAAGACGACTCGTGTCCATCACCTTTGGCTTCACTGTTCAAATGCGTCCATCTAACCCCCCCTTCTGCTGGCAAATATTTTGCTTCGCATCTCCAATGGTTGTGGGGACATCCCTCCTCATCCTCATTGGAACGTACACATTCACAGCAATAAAAGCGGGGTTGGAAGAATGAAACCATCCTCAGCAGCGTAGTTGGATTTCAGGGTCTTCAAAGACAAAGTGCCACTTCCAACTCATCGTGTGTTTCTTCTAAACTCGGGTCTTCGCAAAAAAGCGAAACACGGCGCGTTTTGCTGGCGCCTCTCGCGCGTCCTCTTTGGGTATGAGCACCTGCGAGCGCTCCAAGCGACTCTGTTCCGATGGGAACCGAGTCCCGAAAACCCACCTCTTTTTGGGTTCCATCAGACTGGCTTCAATAAAACAAATCCAAGATTTGATGTAGAACATCCTCTTTTTGTAGGTTAACCATGTGACGTTTGGTTCAAAACGGTGTGCCGAGTCCTTGCTCTAATGCCCGTGAAACCTGGTAGGAGCCGAAACTCCTGCTAACATGGCCAATCAGGCTTTATGGCCTTCAGGGTGATTTCGCGAACATCATCTGCGAAGACTCGTAGGGTGTTGCCACAGGCGACAAGTTTATCCAGTGATATCCAATCTTGCCATGGGTACTGAAGAATCAAGTGGTATCCACACACACACACAGATGCACATGTGTTTCAGCCTGGTCCAAAGGGGAACTCTAAAAGGAAAGCCACCATTTTTGCGGACGAGCCACCCATATGGGGGTTGTCTTTTTTCGGGGATCCCCCAAATCGATGTCGGTCTTCCTTTGGTGTCCCTTTCAAACCAACCAAAACTGGGCTGCCTTGAGATCGCCCGCTAAAAGTTTAACTCTTCGTGGGGTGAATGGAAACTACGACTAAACACTAGAAGGCTAAAAACCTAAGGGGATGGCTGGAAGTTACCCAACTCGAAAACAGATCGACCCAAATGACCCTTTTCTCTCTTCCAAACCAACTTTGTGTTTTGAGGTAAATATGAAACAGAGTGAGAACAAGATATGTTCTGTGAGGAGCCCGTTTTTCCTTGAAGGATAGGCAAAGGAAAATGGACAAATCGTGGACATGGAGAATCTAGGTCCTCCAGTAGAGAGGTTAGAATAAGGGTGCCCTTTTTTCTCTAGCTATTTTAGTAGGGGAACCCTCCCCCAAAAAAGTTAGTAAAAGGGCACTACTGGCAGACCTAGAAATGGTATTTTATAGGATATCGCCTCTTGGTTGCCAGCTTCCTAACCCAGTGGATCCCAATGGGAAGCCATTTTCCTAGCTTCTACGTCAGCTGGTTTCCTTAGTTACTTGCCTCTACTAGGTAAATGGATCTGGGAAAAGGTCGACCTTTGGGGTCACTAATAACCCTGACAGGTTCAAGGTCGCTTCACCTTGGGCCAGTGAGTTAGGCCCAAATCTGAGTCAACTTTGCTGCAAAAACCACAAACAAAAAAACAGAAGGAAAAACAAAAACGGCAGCAAAGAGCAAAAAAACAACAAATTGGACAAAAAAAAAAACGGATCGATCCATCGATCCGTTCGCCTCATTGGCCTCCAGGTGCAATTGCCGCGTCTCCAGGTCCGAGTCCTCGGCCTGCGCTTGCTGGCGACGGGACGTCGCGTCGGAGCCCTGAAAACTGGGACACAGGAAAAGGCGATTCGTCTGAGCTCCGTTCCACATACTTCATATATATATATCATATATATATGTATGTATGTATGTTGGAAGCTTTTCTGGACTCCCTCCAAAGCGAGATTTCTATTATATATATACATATATTCAATTTTCCTCCGAGCATCTGCAGTGGTTCCATATTCAATCTACCCTGAATCCAAACTTGCTCAGACAGTCTCTCCCACTGGGCCCCCGACCCCCGCCATTCCGCGAAGGAATGCCCGCTGTGCTTCGACGCGAGCTTCCCGGGTCCGGAAAAAAAACCGCGTCTGCCGCGAGAGACGCGTGCCGTCAGTCCGGCTGAAAAGCCCACAGATCTCTGACTCCGAGGTGAACAATGAGAGTCATATGCCATAGAAAAAAGACGTGCCATTCAGAGAGAAACAACCATAACCCGCAAAGGCTACGGGGCCCTGAGCCCTTGAGCCGCGAAGCCGTCGTCGAGCGCACATCTCCGGGTTCCTTGGCCCCGTGCGACGTCTCTCTTCCACACAAAACGCTGGGATTTGATGACTCCTATGGTGTATCTAAATCATCTACCCCATAGAGCATAGTTTTGGAGATCCCGGTTACCTTTGACCTTGGTTGGTTTCTCCCTTTTGGCTGACCTGCTTTGTTGCCATGTGCATTTTCTTGGCTTGGCCCTATTGTCTCCTTGGAACTTAGGCAGGTGTCAGGTCACCAGGTCTAGTCCAAATGCTTGGACTGAACCTCTATGCCCCTGGCAAGAAAGACGTAGAGCACTGCTTTCAACTCGCAAAGATAAGCTGGGTGAGCCATTTCGACCGCAACTTGGTTGCTGCAACGACCCCCCTGCAAAAAGTTTTCAACTTTTTGGGGGTTTACTGGAAAACACCTTTATTTCAACCAAAAGTTAAAGTCTAAAGATCCAAGCCAATAGCAGTCAAGGCAACAAGCCAAGGTTTGCGTCACGGGCTTTCGTTGGGCTGACTGTACATGTAACTGGGTCCCTTCGGGGAGGGGTTCCCAGAAAGAATTGCGAGTCCCGTTTCGCTTGAAGCCATCACTTGGGGGTGCGGTTGCGGCTCTCATCCTAAGGGGCCCTGTGTAAACTACAAGGAATTGTAGTAAGATCAAATCGCCCAGAACCCCTCACGGGGCTTGGGTTGACCCATACAACCAGCCGGAGGATTATACAGTGCAATAGCCCAAACCTGTCCAAAGTGCATCTGACTTCAAGTGGGGTCTTGTTTTGATATCCCTTTTGCAAAGAAAGCTCAGCTTCTCGATCTCTTCGATGTCTTCGATGGCAGAGTCCACGCAAAAGGGTCTTAAGAATTGGAAGGTCTTTGAGATCTCCGCATCGATTTGGGTCTCTCAACATATGGCTTGCCCAATGAATGGTGTCCCGTTGGCTTTCCTTCGAAACCTCAAGCGTGCCGAAAAAGAAAAAAAACACCGATTTGCTGGAAAGACGAAAAAGACGCCGAAGAAAGGAACCTTCCCACTCAAGGTGTCGATTGCTGGAAAGCTTCCACGTTTGAGCTTGGCGCGTATAAACCACAAGTCCCTCATGCGAAGGTCTGTCTTCCAAATCGCGTCACAAAATGTTAGACCAAAGTACACCAGGTCTCACAGCCGGAAAATGGGTGAGGCTGGAGCCGCCAAATAGCTTCATGAACCATGGTCAAAATGCATGTCATGGTGGATAGCGCCCAATGTCATTCCTGTAGACGCTCCAAATTTGGTGGTTCGTCTCCCCTTTACCCTCAGTTCCAATCCCACCAATCCAAGCCACCAAGGGTTTAGCTGAAAACCACGTGGCCGGTTGCCTTCTCCCAAAAAAGTCATAGAGACCCCCACTGATCATGTGACCTTCACTTCCTTGAGGTGTGAAAACCAAGGGCCTGGAAAAAAGAAGAAAAAACACACACACACACACACAGACCCGCCTTTGATTTGGGTGAGGATTCATCGTCAAGTTGGGTGTGCGGCAAGCTCGTGGGAAGGGTTTAAATGCTGCTTTTGTCTTGGCTTCCTTGCACAGCGAGGTGAAACAAGTGTGGCCTCCAAAAAGACCGCCAGCCCTTCGCTCGTTTCTCTCGCCAAGAGCACCTTGGCTCACTGGATAGCGTCGTGAAACGACAGGCGCGGACAGTTGTTGAATAAATGCAAGGATTCATGGATTAGGCTGCTCCAAAGCGGTATTTCGGGACGCCCCAGACATAGGAAATGAAGCGCTTCATCCTCTACGTGAATTGAACTCTGCAAAAGTTCCTCTTCTGGATGAGAGCGGAGTTGAGATGAACCAAAACTGGCTGATGCAAAGGAACTTGTTTGAAAAATCAGCTTCCCAGCTGGGTTCAGCGGTTTCTCCAAACTAAGGATTTGTCGCCCTGGAACGACAAACACACCAAGTCATTCTCAACAAACCCCAAAGGCCAAACCGAAGACACTTGCAGACCTCCAGTGAATTTCCAGGTTGCCTTGCTTGAGTTGCAAGCACACCCCAAAGAGAGTTGAACAAGAACAGACACGCGTCACCGAAGGTCTGCGATTCGCTTCTCGTGTCTCAATCTTCATGGGCTCACAGCAATCCTCGCGACGGGAAGAGCGAGTGGTTCTCCCCCCGGTTTTTGGTCGCGCACTTGGTATCAACATTCGCTCATGTTGTTGTTTTTTAAGGCCAGGCGCTACACATCCCACGAAACACCAACCCAACTGTGTGTTCTGCAGCCCCCTACCAAAGATGAACAGCCCCCCACGAAAAAAAGGAAAAGGAAAAAATAACAAGAATAAACAGACCCACACACACACACACCAAAACAGAGAAAGAAACAACGATGCCAACAACAGCGAGGTGTCCCATATTTGTGGTTTCAAATTGGGAATCAGCCTTTGCGGGTGTCCGAATCCTGAAAGACGCACCCGTGTCCAAGCCGTCGTTTGGGGTCGCGCCTTGGTCCTTGACCGCTTGGGAACACTTGTCATCCAAAAGAGTTCTTACAAGCTTCAGTCAAGCCAAAGGCGAGCAAGAACATGAATTCCATGGCGTGTTGCATGTTCTCAGAAAACGGGAACCGCCTTTTTGGTGGCTCAAAGGAAAGCAAAAGGACGCCAACCCATTTCCGGGTTGCTTTCTGCTCCCCTGCTAAAAGTTTAATTTCTAGTGGTTTTTATTGGAAAACCCATTAGTTGGCAAAAAGTGATTCAGTCCTAACATCCCTGGGCAAAATGCGCTTTGCATGGAACTCGAACCAATAGTCCCTGGCCTACGACTAGGGTTTCTGAGCGCATAAACCAAGCTAAGCAATAAGAGAAGCATGAGTGCAGTTCTTTGGCGTGGTATCCTTGGAACATGGGAGAGTTTGACAAAGCCCAGGTAGGAGACCAAACGCAATCCATTATTCTTGGTTTAGTCACCAAGTTAAGCAGGGATCCTGACATTACACACCTGAACATTGCCTTGTCAATGGTGGTATCCCTTTATTTTGCTGGAAAAGCCATGTTTCAAATGGGCAAAATGTATCTTTTAAGGAGCCCTGTTAAGTCAGTGGGATTTCGATGTGCTTTAAGATCTTCGCCGGACTTCGTAAAGAACATATTTCGGCGCAATTGTACCCTGGCGTGATCCAATATTCTTGCAGAGCATGTCAACCCCTGTCCAAACAAACGTATGTTTCATGGAAAACAGGTTCTCAGTTTTGCCTGTCTGCATATCTCACTTCCTGAGTGGATTGGCAAAACGAATACGTTAAACTCTGTATGCTCACTAAACAAATCCAAGCCCAGAAAGTGTAACTAGGTCCTCCAGTAGAGAGGTTAGAATAAGGGCACCCTTTTTTCTGTAGTCTATCTTAGAATAAGGGTCCCCCAAAAAAGGGTAAAAGGGCACTACTGACAAACCTAAGTAAAGTCCGAAACGGAGCTCAGGGAGTGAACTACTCAGACGAACAGCCGGAAGCTCCCAGAAGGCCTCTACCAAGTCTTTGGAGCTTCCGTGGGATCGCCGGGGGGAGGGTATGGTTGACCACACACTAATCAACCCCAGCTGTGAGTGGGGGGGGTGGGGGGCTCCAAAAATGGTCTGATTCCAAAGTGAGTACTGGCAAAAACCGCCTGCCAACCCTGCTGGATTTTGTCCATTCCCCATTCGAAGTATCTGGGTGTTTTCATTGAACACCAGGGAGGCCGCCAAGTTCCGACGACCGCTTGAACTCGGGGACACCCCTGCGAATAAACTGGGGTTGATTCATATGGGTCAAAATCCAAAGCCCGTACCCCCAGTGAACAATCCAACCACTAAAATCGGTTCTAAAATGGGTGGTGAATTCACCAATCCCCCAAAATGGGATCCCAAAACCGTTTTGACCACCACAGCCAAATCTAAAAAGTGGCCTGTCAAGTAACTGACGGTAGGGGATCTTGTGATTCCTAGAGCTAGTGACAATGGGAAGGCACGTGCTACGCTACAAAAGTGGCTTGGTTTTGACCCACAGCCAAATGGACGTTTTCTTCACTTCACCAAACCCCCAGCCCACGAGACCCACTCCGAGCCAGCCGTTTTCCAGGTTTTCCAGCTTTTTTGAGGGAAGCCTCAAGCTTTTACATGGGTTTTGACCCCAGCCATCTGATCTGTCCACATTCCAAAGCTTCGGCCCCGATCGCCTCTCCGGGCCCCGGCTTCGCTTCAGCACGCAAAGGCGTAGCCTCGGCGTTCGGCCGATCTGAGAGCTTCCGAATGGTCGCCTTTGGTTTCAGCCCGTCCGAAGCCATGAGTCACAATCAAAACCGATCGGTACAAAAGTGGACCCAGAACCACGCGCCAAGAACGGCGGACATCCGCAACTATTTCCGGCAGGGACTGCCCCGTACTAAGCTTCATCCACCCGGGCTTTGCTCAAATCGCCTTTCGGGGTTGGTTGAAAGGAACCCAGGGAAAGCTGAATCCATTTTGGGGGTTCCACATTATGGTGGACAGTATGGGGATTCGTGTCCACCACTTCGGTTCCAACTCTGAAAATTCGTAGCCCTTGGGACACAAAGGTAGCTTGCGCTAAGAGTGATTGTTAAAAAACCTGTTGGGTCAAGGGGGGTCTTAGCCGTGCTTTCTCACGTGTACAGCTCCCATGAAACGCAATCTTCGTGCTGCCCCAAACATTGTGAACTGTGGATTCGACGCGTTCGGCGAGCCTGAGCTAAGCGCAGCGCAGCCAAGAGGTTGATCTGGGGGGGTGCCATTTGTATGGTTGGACGAACAGAATCGTTGGCTTTTAAATTTTCCTCTTGGTTTCCCTTTAAAACCCCCCAAAAAACAACAGGTGCCCCACCAAAACAGAAACCCCCACATGCTCATTTGCAAGGGAAGCTTCCAGCCCAAGTTGATTCGGCGCCGCAGCCGTTGCTTCATGCTTGGAACAAGTCCGGCGCTGGCAAGTGCGGCGACTCCCTCACCCCGACGTGACACACATGTAGTTTCCTATGGCAAACGTTGCGAGGCGTCTGTATTCACAAAAGCATCTTTAAATGTGTCCCCAGTACCATTGACTTTGGGGCCAACCCTCAGTGGGGGAGGAAAGCCAGAACAAATTGCTTGGCACTATGTGAGTTGTCTACCATCGGTTTGACTGCTCACTTGGTGAGTGTATTCGCCCTATGTCCTCCCCGACATAGAATCGGTTCTACCAACGCAATGCAATAAGCAAGCCATTTCAAACTGTCGCCTTGTAACATGAGTCAATTGTGATGGTGAACAATGTCCTTCATGTCCATTACCTTCCTTTCTGTTTGGAAGCATGAACAATCACCCAACAATGCGGAAACTCCGAATTTGCTCTATTCTTGGTTGCTGGCTTTCTGAACACATGCTATCTGGACCAGTCATGGGCTCAAGAAGCCTTCGTTTCATACCCCCCTGCGTGTTTCACATGGAACCGAAACCAAAACAACTCAATTCAGGTTGGAGCCGCTTTTTCGGGTTGCCGATATGAAGCCGATACCCACCTGGAGCCCAAACCAAACCGAGGGCCACGCTGGTGCCCTTCTGTCCCCAGCTTTTCGGCCGGCCCCTGGCGGCATGGCCAAAGCCCTGAGGTCATGGTGCAAGGAGGTGGCTGACCATGGCTGCTTACCCAAGTAAAGGAACCGGTCTTTTGACCATGGACACGGCGAACGGGATCCATGCGAGAGGTAAGAGGTCTGGGAAAACTCATGCATCCCCTTTCGGATTATTTTGTAAGGATAATTGTGGGCTCAACATTGAAATTCAACTCTAAGAAACAACTCAAACACCTCATCACTTTTGAACCACACATCGACAAAAAGCAACATCTATCTGCGGTATATGTTGAAATGGGGTAACCCATTTGAAGATAGGTGACGTTCCTTCTGGTTTCCCTTCATCCTGAAAAAGAGTAATTGCTAACTCCAAACAATCCCACAACATGAGCACGGAACGGTGAGGCTAACGTGGGACCCCATATTCAGACACCCCTCCTAAATAATGGTCGTTCCCCTGAAGCGACAAATTTCCACTGAAAGGGGACACACCCCGATCAAAGTCAACCAGCAGAAGCCCAGCAGAAGCCCATTTGGCCGTACCTAGGGCACTCCCCGACCCGCCAGCTGCAAAACAGACAAGATCTGGCGGGTCCTAAATTTTGAGTCACACCAAACCCTAAACAGTTGGCTCGGTGGCGGTCTTACCCGAAAACAAAACAAATACATCTTACCCGAAAACAAACAACTACACCCTCAACAGTTGGCCAGGGGGAAAAGGGGCGTCTCACCCGTCGAAAATTGTCCGTCGCATCCATGGCGAAGCCCAAAACCAAAACCCCCGCCTGAGGCGCATGACCTGGGCGGCGCCGCCCAGGCGGGGGTCGAAGCAGCAGCGCTTGAACTCCGAGACCTCGGAGCCGAAGCCGTCGATTTCGAGGCAGCTGGGTGTTGGGCGTGGCGAGTGTGGGGTTGGGGGGGGGGGTCAAAAGCGTCCAAGTGGCCCGCACAAAAAACAAAAAAACAAGGGAAATGGTGGTTTCTCCCCGGAAAACGTCGTACCACCCGAAGAAGGGGTCAAGATGAAAAAAGAAGAACAAACTGGGCTGTTCCCAGATCCATCCCCTAAAAGTCTATCTTTGAGTGGTGTGGAAACTACCACTTTTCCCTAAGAACCTAACAACCTAAGGAGGAAACAACCCGGAAAAAAGGCGTCAACATGAAAAGAAGGAAGGCGGTTGCCTCGGATCCAGGGACACCTTCCCTAAACGACAGTAGGTTTGGTAATTTCTTCTAACCTTGCTCTCCGAGACAACAGCTGTAACAACCTAACCCATTCACAATCTGAACTGAGGGGGTCCAAGTCGCTGAAAAACTTCGACCCCTTCACGCGCCATCCGCCATCTACTTGGATCAGGGCCACATGGGCGTGTCTTGCAGGATTTGGAAGTTCCATGCATTTCGGTTTCCTCTTCTTTTGTTTGAAAAGGAAACAGGGGGGAACCAAAAAAGCCATCAACCAACCCCCCCTCAAGCTTCGGTACTTCCGAAGATCCTTTCGGGTTGCCCGAAAAAAATGGAAGAAACAAAAACACAAACAAAGACACCCCGCATCTGGGATAGTCATAAAACCTCACACTTCCCCTACCCACCCCTCAGCTGCTGAGTTCCTGGCCCAGCCATCGCGCAGGCCCCGCATGGATTCCCGGGCCAGGCGCAAGCGCAGCACGCCGTCCTAAGCGCCAAGGGCCCGGGGAGGGGCGTGGGAGAGGTACGGTTGGTCTTCTGGAATTCTAAGGGCTGATTGGTTGGTTGGCTGGGCGGTGGGCTCTCTGAATGGCTGGTGAACTGCTTGGTTGGTAGAGTGGTTGGCTGCTTGGTGGGTTGGTGGCTTGGCTGCTGGGTGTGTCGAAAAATACGGAAACCCCCAACAGCCCAGGTGGCTGGTAAATAACACGAATCCGATCTGGTTGGCCCCCCCCCTTTCACGCGGGGTTTCACATGGTTTGCTCCCTCCTTCCGCCATTGCAAATTTTGGGGCGGCCATCTTAGATGAATAAACCCCCAATTAGTTTTATTCATGGCTGGGTGTCCCCTTGTGTGGGTATTAACCATTGGAGGGGAACACCCCCCCTTCTCAATCCGTGTTGGGTTGACAAAAGATGCTTGCCCAACTGGAGACACCAAAGTTGGCCAACAGGTCCATCCGCTTTGGAGCAACCCTCCCAAGCGAACAAAGGAAAACTGCGTATTCCAAGGGGTTGCGCTACTTCAATACTATCCCCACAAAGGGTAAATCATACCCTAACAGGTGGCTGAAAGTGGAACCGAAGGGAAGTCGCGTTAGGGGAAAAACGAGTCTTGCAGGTTTCTTTTGGAGGACCCGAACCCAAGTTGAAAGAGGGAGCCTGGAGGTCTGAAATTTAGGCCCTCTGGGCACTGGTTGTCCATAGACTCATTCGACCCGTCAAAAGGAAGGTCGGCTCTCCTTTTGGTTTGCCATTTTTTGGGGGCAACTCCAAAAAAGCGTTTCCCAAGAAAGGAACCCACAGATATCTTTGACCCCCAAAAATCTCCTCCCCTACCACACTGGAGGTCTTGACATTTGGGTGTGTCTTTTTGGAGGGTAGCCTTTTGGCAAAGGGAAACTAACATCAAGATCCAGTTGGGTCGTTTTTGCCAAAAGACGAGCCCATATTCCTCCACTTGCTTGGGATCCCCTGAACAAAAATATGTGCAAACACGGGAAAAGAACAACTATTGACTTCAGCAAATGGGGGTTGATCAATATTCCTGCCCCCCAAAATGACCATGGGTAACAACCCTCCATGTGGCACATCTCATTCTTTTGGGGTACTTTCCCTATTGGTCATCCCATAGCATGTTTTGATTCACACCAGACCGTCGTTTTCCCTCAGTCCGAGGGTAATTAACCTGTTCCGTTTAGCGGGACGTATCATCCCATGTCTTCGGGATTTGATCAACCCCCAAATGGCCATGGGCTTTTCAAAATCCAAAGCCCGTGAACATCCGACTCACTCCAACCAAAATCGGAAGCCTGAAATGGTGAATTCACCAATCCCCCAAAATGGGATCTGATTGGTGTTGACGACCCACAGCCAAATCTCAAAAGTGGCCTGTCAAGTAGCTGACGGTAGGGGATCTTGTTAATCAAGAGCTAGTGACAATGGGAAGGCACGTGCTACGCCTTCCAATAAGTGGCTTGGTTTTGACCCACACCCAAATGGACGTTTTCTTCACTTCACCAAACCCCCAGACGAGACACTCCGAGCCAGCCGTCCGATATATCACTCCGAGCTGCCACCACCTGGCGCTCCCGGATCTCGAGCGCGGTGCCCGGATTCCTCGCTTCGAGCGAATTTTCATTCCGGGGGGATGGGCCGGGGTCCGTCCCAAAAGAAAACACCGGGGGAGTCGACGAAGACGGGTCCTTTCGCAAGACATGGGTAAGATGTATAGTCTTGTTTTGAGGTTTCCCCTTCTTTGGGTGGTAAGGGAAACCTGAAACAAATCCACCACCAGTATCTGGTACAGTGTCCCTTCTGCCCCACCACCCTCCCCACCCACTTTCCCCTTTTCTCCCTTTCACGCACCTGGCTTTGTCAAATCGCATCGGCTTTGAAGTGGCTGTGGCTCAACAAACCGGTGCCAAAATGGGTTGCCCTGGTAAGTGGAAACATGGACCAACACCTGCGGTTTGCCCCTCCTGTTTAATTTTGAGCCACACCCAAGTGGATCCAAAGAAATGAACAGCCAAACACCGCACCATCCTCCGATCTGCGAAAAGTGACTCACTTTTGGCGGGAATGGACACCCAAGCACTCAACCCAAACAAACCCTAAAACGCCCAAACAAACCAGAGATGGCTGGGAACCACCTGAAGCTCCAAAAACCCGAACAAGAAATCCCTTCCAACCCTCCCCGTTTTTTTTTTCCCCACGGCCGCGCCGGCGCCATTCGTTCCCAGCGCCGAGTCTCAGGAAGCAGACGGTGGGCGAGTCGGGCGCCGGGAAGCGCGCCACCGCGACCTTGCACAAGGCCCCGTAGAAGAAGCTGCCTCGACCCGACCCGACCCGATCCGCGAGGCGAGCCGCGGGGGGAGAAGCTCAGTGGTTCAGCGACCCTGGGAAAAAAAGAATTGGAACCCTTCTTTGGGCTTGGACCGAATCTTTAGTGGGGCCACCAAGAAAAAAGTTGGAAAAATAATTGGAGCCACTGAACAACTGAGGAAAAGCGCGCCGAGCGGAAACGGGGAGCAAGGAGGTGGGGCCACATGGGTTGTGTGTTCTTGTGTTCGGGTTTAGGGTTTAGGGTTTAGAGTGTAGGGTTTAGGGTTTAGCGTATGGGTCATAATCAAAACCTGGTACTAAAATGGTCGACCCAGAGCCATGCTTCAAGAATTGAGAGGGCGGCTGCAGCTATTGTGGTTGGGATTGTCCCATACTAACCTTCATCTACCCGGGTTTTGCTTGTGGCTCACATGGGTGGTGTGTTCTTGTGTTCTACCACACAAAAGTGGGGTGGATTTAACGGGGAAACTTCAAAAAGGAAACCAGACAAATGATTTTGGTGAAAGGGAAACCTTAAAGAGGAAACCAGCCACATGATGGTGGATTGAATTTGACTCATGCCAAATGGGTGTTTCTTTCTCACAATAGGATTTGGACCCGAAAAGCTCCTTCAACACATGGCAAAAGCGGTCACCACCAAGCAAAACAAATCAACATCAACCCCAGTGCTTCCAGTTCCCACTATTTGGATCCATAGGCGACTGAATCGAAATAGCTCCTGGAAGGTTCCTGTTGGCTTGTCCAAACTCAAATCCCCAATTCTACTGAGTAGTTCGCAAAGGGCCACAACTACGAGGAAACCAGGACGGCCATCGGATCGTGTGGATTGATTTGGAACCCAGCACAGAAAGAAATAAACTCGTGCTGTCAACAGGGGGCGTTCCCTCAAACAGTGGTCTGAACTTGCACTTTTCTAGGAAGACCCACTGTCACTGCCCCTGTGTCTGATCAAAACAACCAGAAATTATTAGGGTTTGTATCAAAATAGGGGCGGGGACCTGCATGTCGTTTTTCTTTGGTTTCCCTTTCAGCCAACCCCACCGCATGTGCCCTTCCTTCCACTAACCTGGCAACCGTGTTCGGGGACCTGGAAGATCCATTTCCTCTTGGAGTGACCAGTAATTCGGCTTAATTCGGCGGTTTCGGCGGTTTGTCCCGGAAGCTTCATGCAGATCTCAGAGCTCCCCGCCTCGTTGCTCAGTGCACGGCCTGGCGGCGACGGGGGTGGCAGGGAAGATTAGGTCCTATGTGGCGTGCGCGCGCGGGATGATTGTTTCCCCCAAAGTGGTACGCGCGGGGGGGATGTTTCCCTCACTCATGATACACACACACACGCGCGCACGCACGCACGCACGCACGCACGCGCGCAAGCACGCACGCACGCACGCACGCACGCAAACACAAGCAGAGAGAGAGAGAGAGAGACTGAGAGCACAAAGGGCACTCAAACAGAGTGTCAAGCAATACACACACACACACCAAGTACACTAACACAAACAAAACGCCCTTTTTCTTTTTAATTTTCGAATCATTCTAGAAACTCCCAAAGGGGCAGGGGACTGTTGGGGAATTCCGAAACAATTTCTTCTAGCTCATTGAAATTTATACTTGTTCTATTTATTACCCAAGGGACGGGCGCGCTCTGGGGAATTCCAGGTGCATTGTCCTAATTCTTACAGCTATTCTGATTATTACATATTTTTCACCAAGGGACGGCTGCCCTTTGGCGAATTCCAGATTCACGTGTTTTCGAATCATTCTACGTGATTTTACATTTATTCGCAAAGGGGCGGGTGCATTTTGGGTCAAATGTGTTCGAGTTAGTCTACTTCTCATAGCAATCATCACTCTCTGATGTATTCCCACAGGAGGGTACCTTTTGGGGAAATCAACATTCATGGTTGATCTAATTATTTTACTCATTCTAACAACTTAAGCAAATCTAAGGATTCTCTTTGTTTTCAAGCCATTTGGTGAAGTCCAGTGTGGTTTCCAGGTCATTCTGCTCTGATTATTCTGGTTGTAGCACGCATTCCCAACGGCACGGGGCCCCTTGTGGGGAATCCGCCCCTAATTAGTTCCTTTGTTCTAGCTATTCCCAATGACTGGTGCCTTTTCGGAAATCCCAATTCCAGATTCATGTGTGTTTCAACTATAGTATTCTAACTAATCAACTTATTCTCATTCTAATCATTCCCAAAGGGGCGGGTGTGTCTTGTGGAATTCAAGATCCATGTTTGCCAGCTATTCTACTTATCATAACTATATTACTTGTTCTAATTATTATAATTCTTCCCAGAGGGACGGGTTGCTTTTGGAGAATTCCAAACCCATCTTTGTCCTACTGTCTTAATTATTGGGTATGCTTCCCCACAAAATTACAATTATTCTCATTTACATACTTATTGCGAAAGGGGCGGGTGCCTTTGGGGGAACTCCAGATTTATGTTTGTGCTAATTATTTGAACTAATCTAAGTATTCTACTTCTTCCAAAAAGTGGGGTGCCTTTTGATGAATTCCAGATTCATGTTTTCTAACTATTCTACTTATCATAACTCTTCTAATTCTCATCATTATTCCCAAAGGGACGGGTGACTTTTGGGGAATTCAAGAGCCCTGATTGCTAAGTATTCTACTTATCATAATCATTCTATATTATTCTAATTGAATCCCTAGGGAGCTGGGGTGCGTCTTGGGGAATTCCAAGCTCGTGTTTGCCCTGGGTAGGATAATTGTGTCAAAAGGGATGGGGCCTGTTGGTGGCGAGATTCGTGGTTCCCGCATTGTTCAAACTATTCGAGCCATTCCCAAATGAGCAGCTCCCATTTAATAAGTTCTAGATTATTTCCCTATTTTCTATTTGGTCCCAAACAGGAAGGTGCCGTTTAGTGAGTTCAAGATTCACGTTCGCTGATTAGTCTACTTATCATCAGTCTTGTAAAATACTACTATCATTATTATTTACAAGGGACGGGCACCTTTGTTGTTCTAGGTACAACAATTACTACACAAGAGGTGGGTGCCTTGTACGTCTTCCCATTATTCTTGTCATTCCCAAAGGGGGGGGTGCTTGCGAGGAATTCCAGATTCTTGCTTTTTCCAATTCTTTATTCTCCAAATTGGGGAACTTTCAGATTCATTGTTTCTCTAACTACTCTACGTACAATATGTTCTGTTCTTGGGCGTGCCCAAATTATTCCAATTATTCCCAACGGGACGGGTCCCTTTTGAGGAATTCCAGATTCATTTTCTAGTCTAGCACATCTACTCATGAACTTATTATAATCATTCTTCCCAAAGGGACGGGTGCCTTTAGGGAATCTCCAGATTCATGTTTGCTCTAATCTTTCTAGTTATTCTAAATGTTCTGTTGTTTCTTATTATTCCCAAGGGGGCGGGTGCCTTTGAGGAATTGAAGATTCATGTTTTGCATACTAGCCTACTTATCATCGCCATGATTTCTCCATATTCCAAGAGAGGCGTGCGCCTTTTGGGGAATTCCAGGTTCATAGTTTTTTCTGTTGGTTCTACTTCTGATATATTTTTCTCATGATTATTCTCATTCCCAAAAAGACGGGAATTCCAGGCTCTTGTTTTTGCAACTGGTCATTCCCAAATTTGGGGGAAATTCTGATTCATGGTCTCTCTCTTATTCAACTTCAGGTGTTTTGGAACTACCCGCATTGTCCAAGTATCGCCAACGGGGCGGCCCTTTTGAGGAGTTCCAGATTCATTGTCTGCTACACTAATTCTACTTCTTATGATCAGTCTTCTCAAAGGGACAGGTGCCTTCTGGGAATCTCCAGGTTCATGTGTGTTCGATTATTCTAGTTGTTCTAACTGCTCTAATTTTCTAATTACTCCCACAGGGACGGGTGCCCTTGAAAAATTGAACATTCATGCTTGGGAAATGTTGTCTACTCATCGTAGCTATTATAATGATTATTCTTATTCCCAGAGGGACAGGTGCCTTTTGTTGAGCTCCAGAATCATGTTTGTTTTTTCAATGTTTTTAATGATTCTAGTTCTGATAACTGCTCTATTTATTCTTGGCATTCCCAAAGGGACAGGTGCCTGTGGGGAATTCCAGATTCTTGTTTTTCAATTTCTTCATTCCTCAAATTGGGGAATTTCAGACTCATAGTATCTCTAATCCTTCTACTTCAGATATTTTCTGTTTTTGGAAGTACCCGGATTATTTCAATTCTGCCCAACGGGACGGGTCCCTTTTGAGGAATTCCAGATTCAATCTACTCATTCACTTATTATAATCATTCTCCCAAAGGGACGGGTGCTTTAGGGAATCTCCAGATTCACGTTTGCTCTAATCTTTCTAGTTATTCTACATGTTCTGTTGTTTCTTATTATTCCCAAGGGGGCGGGCCTTTGGGGAATTGAAGATTCATGTTTTGCATATTAGCCTACTTATCATCGCCATGATTTTCTCCTTATTCCAAGAGAGGCGGGCGCCTTTGGGGGGATTCCGGTTCATTGCTTTTTTCTATTGATTCTGCTTCTTGTTCTGATCATTCTCATTCCCAAAGGGACGGGAATTCCAGGCTCTTGTTTTTGCAACTGGTCATTCCCAAATTTGCGGACATTTGGGGAAATTCGGATTACTACCCGCGTTTCCAATTATTGCCAACGGGGCGGGTCCCTTCTACTTCTTATGATCAGTCTTCTCAAAGGAACAAGTGCCTTCTGGGAAGGTTCATGTGTGTTCAATTATTCTGGTTATTCTAACTGCTCTAATTTTCTAATTACTCCCACAGGGACGGGTGCCCTTGGGAAATTGAAAATTCATGTTTGGGAAATGTTGTCTACTCATCGTAGATATTATAATGATTATTCTTATTCCGAGAGGGGCAGGTGCCTTTTGTTGAGTTCCAGAATCATGTTTGTTGTTCAATGTTTTTAGTGATTCTACTTCTGATAACTGCTCTATTTATTATTGTCATTCCCAAAGGGACAGGTGCTTGTGGGGAGTTCCAGATTCTTGTTTTTCAATTTCTTCATTCCTCAAATTGGGGAATTTCAGACTCATAGTATCTCTAATCCTTCTACTTCAGATATTTTCTGTTTTTGGAAGTACCCGGATTATTTCAATTCTGCCCAACGGGACGGGTCCCTTTTGAGGAATTCCAGATTCAATCTACTCATTCACTTATTATAATCATTCTTCCCACAGGGACGTCGTTCCCAAAGGGACGGGTGCCTTTGTGGAGTTGAAGATTAATGTTTTGCAAATTAGCCTACTTATCATTGCTATTTTTGCTTCTACTTATTCCAAGAGGGGCGGGTGCCGTTTGGGGAATTCCAGGTTCATAGCTTTGCACCTTCTGATAATTGCTCTATGTATCATTCTCATTCCCAAAGGGTAGGGTGCTTTTGGGGAGGTCCAGAGTTCCACATTCATGTTTTCCAAACAATTACTTCCAGGGGGGGGAGAATTCCAGATCCATATTCTTGCTAATGATTGTACTTATCATAATGATTTGATTTAGTCCAATGGTTCCCAACGGGATGGGCCCCTTTCAGGAATTCCAGATCTATTATCTAATCCAATGATTCTCATGGTTCATAATCATGCCAAGTATTCTAATTATTCTCAAAGGGACGGGTGTTTTCTGGGGAGTTGAACGTCAATCGCTTGGTACTTATTCTATTTCTCAACGTGGGTCGAATTAGCCTAATTACACGAATCTTTGAGAATCGTGTCAATATTTGGAAAACAGCACCTTATTTTGTCTAACTATTATAAACCAACATGATTTGAACAACTAGTCTACTTAGAATATGTCTTATAAAACAACATGCTTTCTACTCGAATATGTTCAAAGGGACGGGCGCCTTTTGGAGAACTCCAGATTCATTTGTGTCCAACGTCCTAAATAGTTAGAACAAATGAACATGTTTGGGTAACTAAGTATTTAGATATTTCACACAATTTAAACAATTTCAAGGGCACCCCCTGGGCTAGTTCCGAAAATAAACTTTTCCTAATGAAAAAGTTCAAATAATTCCAAAATGCGAACTGCTTATTTTGATCAAAATGTTGGAGGTCCTGAACAACATATCTGTTCAAATAATCCAAGTTATGTCCAGGGCCCTTCCTGGGCCCATTGTAGAATATTTAAAGAATCTGGGTGTCTCGAATTCAAACAATTCGAAATTATGGAATGTACAAATGTGTTTCTTAGCGCATTAT